CCCCCGACGCCGGAGGGGTCATACTTCGCCCTTGTGTCGACGAAAGACGTCACCCAACCGCCTTCCCGCCATCCCCTGAGTAGCCCGCCACACACGGCGAGCACTGGTTGCGACGCGGCATGGTGCAAAGCTGGACCATGACATTTGCGGGTGCTGTGACTCGACGCCAAACGCAGCACCTGGTCTTGCTCGCTCGGCGTGCAGACCTGCACCGTGCCATCCCCCGACACACAGGCATCAAGACCCGGGCGTACAAGCTCACACCTCACTCCTCCAAGTCGATTGATTTCGCTCCGCCAGACATGCGCCCAGGGTCTCTTCGGGTATACACTTGCACATTGGGCCGCAGCCACGCGCTACGCGGCTCTACGCTGGAAGAGAAAACACCCCTCGTAGCCGTACATGTTATCGGGCGTAAACGTATCCCTCCATCGCCCCACCAGCTTCCCACCAGCTACGGCGTAACCGCGGTACAACCACTTGCCGCGCCCATCGGGACGGTACTCCTTGGTCATGATCAACATGCCGTCCCAACTGCGAACCCTGCCGCGAACCACGAATCGGCCCCATGCAGAGTGGCCCTACCCGCGCCCAAATCAAGCAAACCACATCCACAAGATGGACACAAAAAGGCATAGGCATACAAAGTCAGCGATTCGGTGCCTTAGGTGTGGCGTAGGGAGTGTGAAACTTACAGTGCCCGATAGAAGGATCTCGTAGCGCTCGCGCTGGTCGTCGTCCGGAAACGAAGGGTACTGGTGCCAATCGTGCGGCAACGCCTTACCCTTTCCCTTACCCCCCACCTCCTGGGCATCAACGGCGGGATCAGAGGTGTAGCCCGCAGCGAGGATGCTGCCCTTGCCACCCTCGACCTCGCCGGGCGCCAAGCGCACAATGCGCTCCTTGATCTTCCAGATCTGCGGCTGCTCGCCAAACGGCCCGTCGTACAGACTGCGCATGCGCCCCGCCAGCATCTCGCGATACGAGTCAAAATCGAAGAAGCTAAACCTGCCTTCCCAAATCCCCTCAAACATTCCCTGGAAGAAGAGCGGTGGCAATCCAGGTGAACTCCTCGCATCGAGACAAGAAAGCAGACGAGACACGTCGCGGTCGTGATCGAGCGAGGATAGCGTCAGAGGCGGACGCGTGGATGTGGGTTGTCGAACCGCCGGCTCGGACGCCGGGTCGTCGGGGTCGGAAAGCGCAGCCAGCTCGAGAACGGCAGGATCCTTTTCGACCTTCATGAAGAAGCTGAAACATGCGCCCTGCGCCAGGATGGGCGCGGCGATGCGCAGTGTCCCGCCCACGTGCTCCACTGCACAGCTGCGATCGCGTGGCGTCAGATCGGCGAGAAAGGGGTTGGTGGGTGTAGACGAACGCGCCGCTTCGCCCTCGGCGGCGCTGCTGCTGGAGACAGGCAGGTTGCGAAGCGTCCAGGGAGCCATAAAGGCGTCGAACTTGTGTGCGGCAAACACGTATGGACGTAGGACAAACAGTCGCTCGGCCGCTTCGCTCCTCGGTTCCAGTGCCAGCTGCTCCGGATCGGTGAGCAGATAGACGAGGTGGAGAGCAAGCGCCTTGTGCACCGCATCCGACGGATAGCCCGGTTGGATGGCGCCATCGAGCATCTCGGAGGCGTGGTGGAGAGCCAAAAAGCTGTGGAGCTGCGCCCAGCACAGCTGCTCGTAGTTGAGGCCGTCGTTCTCGAGCATCATGAGGTAGGCGAGCCAGAGCATCTCGTCGAGCGATTGCTCGCTCTCGTCCAGCCCCGGTGCGTCGTCGCTGTGCAGCGCAGACGAGGTGACGCAGGCGCGCATGCGCTTGAGCAGCACACACCGCCGACGCAGCTCGTTGGCCAGGCTGAGCGAAGACAGCGCCGACTTGCCGAAGCGACGCCCAATCGCGTCGGTATCGAACTTGGACCGAAACACGCGTGCGTACAGACGCGGATTGGCGGCGATGTTGAGCAGCGAGTGCAGATGCTTGCACACGAGCTGCAGCGCATGCAGCTCGGTCGGCGGCGTGACCACCTTCGAAGGGCGCGTGGACGAGTCGTACAAGAAGCTGCATGGTGCGGATGTCGACGATGATGATGCTAGCGGATAGTCCGGAAGCGCAGCGTAGCCGGCGATGCTGTCGAGGATCTCTGGAGGCAGGGACAGCAGTCCCACCCGCGGCGTGGACTCCATGGTGGTAGCAACACCCGAAAGCAGCCGGGTGGTGGTGGTGGTGGTGGTGGTGAAGAGTCCTGTGCGCACTGACGTGGAGGTGGGGCAGAGAGAAAGGCCGCCACCCCAACTCGCGCGCGCCCAAACCGAGCGGCTGAGCGGCCAATTTTCCGGCAATTCTCGAAATCCACATAGCCGGGCCGCAGCACTTCGCCCCCGTCGCTAGGAATCCCAGCGTATCATTACTCGAGCACACACGAGCACACACAAGGGGCAAGAGTTGGAGGTACATCCACGTAGGGCAGTGCGTTGCAGGTGAAATCCGTCTTGGGAGCTCCTCAACCCGTGTGCGCGACCACCTCGGTCTTGACGCGGCTCTTGCCCTTGGCGAGCGCATCGACGGTATGCTTGAGCTGCTCGGGCAGCGCAAACTCCTCAAACTCGCCCTCCTC